CGACGGTATCCACGCAAAAGTAGGTAGGGATGACTCTTGGATTGATTGCTAGATCAAGCCAAAAGCTGAAGAGGAGTGGCGGAATTGAGAGAAAATTCTCTCTAGGGTTGTGGCTAGGGTTTTGTGTTTGGGAGGTTTAGTTTAAAAATTAAACTAAAACTTTGCTCTCAAAAGTTGTAAAATCAACTTCTGAAAAATTAAAACCCATGTCCCCTTTTTATAGTGCAATCCATAGTATGAATTTAATTAGGATTGTGAATCTCCAAATTCCTTTTTAATTTGGATTGCAACTCTATAAGGAATTGGAATATCTTTAAAAGATATCCTCCCATTAAATATGTTTCCCAATTAAATAAATATTCCTATTTATTTAATTCCTATATAAATACATATTCCTAATCAAATAAATATTACTATTTATTTAATCCATATATATATATATATTTAATTTATGGGTTTTAATATATTTAATTAGATTAAATGTATTCCTCCATATTAATTAATATGAATCCATTGCTAAAGTTCCTTCAATATAAATATTGAGCATTGGCATCAACCCTAGCAAAATTACCCAAATAACCTTTCCGCCCAAAAGGACGAAAATACCCTTTACCTCCCAAATTATGGAAATGCCCTTTTCGCTCAAAGGATGAAAATGCCCTTCCAATACGTTTTCTCTTTTAGCTACTTTTTATATGTATGACCCGAAGGCTCTTTATTTTGTTGGCAGTGCCCCGATAACTAATTAAGCATCAACGAATTAGTGTTTCGTACACCAATCAAGATTGGCCTCTAGCAAGGCATCATGATTACCCAGCAAATAAAGAATCAACGATTAGGCTTACCTTTTCTACAGTATGGTTACCGTGCAATTCGATCCATGCATCATCTTATATCTCATCAAGGTATGAAGTACAGAAATAGTGTCTACTTCAAAGTATTGACCTTGACATGTTTATATTTGGTTGTCGAATCTATGACTATATTAAATCAGATTCGAGCACCAACTCAATTCCATTGTGGCCATAGATTTGCAGTCGTAATTCTTAACCAAATATCTCACCGAGATAAGATCTCTTGTAACCAGAAGTGATGAATCCTTTGTTGATCCACCATAGCCATAGGGTACTCCTCGATGTAAACAATCACCCTCTTTCTGGTAATCTCTAAGAGAGACAACATTATCCATGTGTCAAATCACATTGATATTTACACATCGCGCTCTGGTGATCTCAAGTCGAATGATCACATGCACCACCATCCGTAAGAGGATATATTCCATAGACACTGTGTTTTCCATCTTGTATAGAATCCTATAATGGGTCAGTCCACTGGACTTGCACAAGCAAGCACTCATGCATTTCACCAGGTTGATGCCCACAACTTTAACATGTGAGATGTGTCACTACTTTTCGGTAGGGTCGTTCAAAGTGATGATAGTCTTTTCGCACAATCCGTGTCCTAGGTCAGAGTTATACTATGACTACATACAATTTTAGAATGGCCACTATATGTGCTCATAAGGTTCTCACAATTAAGATTTATAACACTCAATTCCCTTGTCACAGGTTTGAACCTTTCTAAGGACATATACTATTTTCTTTATACACAATAAATAGATGCTATAGTATAGATGCTTGTAAATAAGCAATGCCTTTATTCATTATAAATAATGTTTACAAAAGAAATTGTCGTCTCTAGTGCACCTACTCTAACAATACATATCTAAAGTTGAAGCGTCTGACTTCTTCTTGCTTGTGAGGAATGCCTTGCACTATTTCCTCTAGTGGCCAGGCTTGCCATAATAGAAGCAACTATCTTCCCACCTTTTCCAACACCACCCTCAAGCTTGAGAATCATGTCTTTTGGGTTTGGACTTGGGATAGACCTTGGCCTTTCCCTTATCCTTACCCTTGCCTTTACTAGTAGCAACTAGTAAAACAGGTTTGGACTTTTTCAAGTCCTGCTGTGCAGTCCTTAGCATGTTTAGGAGCTCTGACAAGGACTTCAGCATCGTGTTCATATTGAAGTTCATTATGAACGGTGAACTTTTGATAAGTTTCCTTGACCTCCTAAGTGGCATCAGGTGCAAGCTCAACCGGATAAGGCTTATCTAGGACATATAATTTCTTTTTGGACTTCAGTACAATTCGAAGATTTTGATACTAGTCTGAGAAATTGGATCCATCCAACCATTTTCTTTCTCGATTATCAATCGCAGTGATAGGTTGGTATAGCCCATTTGAACGAATCTACAAGTGCAGAAAAACAAATGTTATTATAATGTTTATTATTATTTAATAAGTTCTTTTATGAAATAATCGCTTCCACTATTTTCCTCAAGCCAATAGCCCTCACTATTAATTCGGGAAAGCCTGTCGGCTTTCCTAGTGGACCGAGATCCCATCTAGCCCATTTCAAACCTTTACTTCACTGAACAAGCCAAAGTAGGTTGATTAGGTAGGTCAACAAACTTAATTCACACCAATGATAGCTCTTACTACCAACCTGAAAAATGAAATAAGCCAACAAAACAATCACACAATTCAATGGCCGAAACCATTGTCCTTAAGTGTGATTCCTAGTATCAGTAGAGTGGACATTACATGTCACCACGTACACATAACATGTGTACTTCTCTTACTATGCCTATGTGTAATACCCAAGATGTCAAAGGTATGTTCCTAACTTAGAATAGTCCTTTAGATGTTAATTTTATGTTAAAAAGCATAAAATCTAACTAAGGGCAAAATAGTTAATTCATTTGGAGCACTATGAATCAATTATCCATAGAAAGAAATTAGGGGCAAAGTAGTCATTTTGCCTATGGATAAGCATTGAAAAAGTCAAGGATGAGTAGGCTTAATTGCATTTAATGGCATTAATTAAGTAATAATTATGTTTAGTGCGAAATGACCAAAATGCCCTTATATGAAGAATTAAGGACTTATGAGTTATACAATTAAAATAATTGGGCCAATAGNCTCCAACTTGAGAACAGTAGGATATTTAGTGCTTAGCTAGCAGTCCTCGTGGGAACGATACTCACTCATCACTTTATTACTTGAGCGATTAGTATACTTGCTACATATTGCATGTTGTAGGAAACACGCATCAGAATCCTTTGGTGGGTCAGTCTAGTGAACTTGCCTACAGCAAGCACCCATGTGTTGCACCAGGTTGTCACCAAACAACCCTGACAAGTGAGATCAGTCACTGCCTTTCGACAGCATCGTTCAAGACTATGATAGCCTTATCGTATTATCTGTGCCCTTACTTCAGAATAATACTAGGGCTACAAACGTTTCTAGAACGACCACCATATGTGCTCATAGGGTTCTCACTATTAAGATTTGAAACACTTGATACCCTTGTCATGGTTCTACCATTCTAAGGACATATATCAATACATACAATGATGATTTATGCGATATAGTATAAAATGTCTTTTATTTATCAATGAACATTATTACAAAGACTCAATTCTACAATAATTGATTGGCTCTAGGGTACCTACTTTAACATTTCTCATTTCATTCCATCTTTGAAATCAAATTCCTGCAAAACTAAGCGACTTTCAGTGTACCTTATCGGCAACACACATCACTAGTTAAAATTCATGAATTTAGAGAAACTCACACAACATCACTAGTAAAAAAAAATGCAGAAAATAAGAATGACTCAAGTACAAACCAACAGAAATTCAAAATAAAAAGTCAAAATCAAAGTAAAGAGCTTAGGTAGCTTCCCAAGAAATGCTTAATTAGAGTCATAAGCTTGACTTTTCTTTATCTTCAGCCTGGATTGTCAAGGAGAATCGCAACCCACTCATCTTGAATTCCACCATCTTCATAAGGCTTCAAGCATGGACCATTCACCCTCTTATTTTCAATTTCGGCGTCTATAGTCATAGAGTTGACTAAACAATTTTCTAGGTGTGAACTAGGGTAGTTTTCTTCTAAATTTTTATTCACTATGTTATCAAGGACACTAATCCCAAAGCAAGTGTCTAAGTTGGATGGGTGCATCATAGCATCAAAAACATTAAACTCTACTTGCTCATTTTCTACCCGCAAGATTAGATTCCCTTGATGAACATCTATCAATGCTCTAACCATTGCTAGAAAAGGTCATCGTGGGATTATAAACATTTCTTGATCTTCCTCCATGTCTAATACTATAAAGTCTACCGGGAAAATCAGTTTATCTACCTTAATCAAGACCACCCCCTAGGATATGTTATTGATCGATCTGTCAATTAGGGAGACACGGTGGTTGGCTTCAGTTCTCCTAATCCAGGTTTCCTATAGATAGAAGACGACATTAAATTAATGTTTACCTCTAAATCACACGAAACTTTGTCAAAATAACAACTACCAATAATACAAGGGATAGTAAAACTCCCTGGATCTCGTAGTTTCAATGATAGTTTCTTTTGAATCAGTGCACTACACTCCTCCGTTAGCATTACTTTCTCATGTTCCTCAAATCTTCTTTTATGCATGAGGATCTCCTTTAGAAACTTGGCGTATTTGGGCATCTGCTCTAACATATCAACAAAAGGAATATTAATATGCAACCTTCGAAACATGTCAATAAACTTACCAAATTGCTCGTCAAGCTTCTAATTCTTCAATCAGTGTGGGTACGGAAGGGTGGATTCCTTTTTCTCCTTGGCTTGATGACTTGAAGATGCATTTTGGTCAGATTCACGGTCGCTGCGGTGGCTAATTTCCTTGCCGCGGTGATAAACATCATCTTCTAAAGTTTTAGGAACAATTTCACAGTCGTCGCAGCTACTATTTTTCTCGCTGCGACGATCGTCATCAATAAAGCCTTTTTCTTCAAAATTTTCACGGTCGCCACGACAACCATTTTTATTGACGCGGCGATCATCCTTCTTTCACAATCGCCACAGTGACCATTTTCCTCGCCATGATGATCGTCCTTCTTTTCTTCTTCCAAGTTTTTCTCTCTTTCTTGCATTTGTTTTTCATCCTCTAAATTCTCCAAGGTTTTTCCACTCTCAAGGTGATTGCATGGACTTGTTCCTTGGGGTTCTTCTTTGCATAACTTGGAAAAACTCCTTGAAATCTTCCCACTATTATGTTATTGATTTGCCCCATTTTAGTCTCAAGGTTTCTGATAGAGGTTGACTGATTTTGGGCAATGATTTTGTTATTTTCAAACCTCTTGCTTGTCTCTTCAATAAACTTGGTAAGCATATTCTCCAAGTTAGATTTTGGCACTTGAGCTTGAAAACCAGAAGGTTGTTTGTGTTCATTGTTGTTGCTCCATAAGAAGTTCGAATGCTTCCTCCATGCCAGATTGTATGTGTTGGAATATGGATTCCCTTTCCCCCTTTGGAAATTATTGACATAGTTAGTTTGTTCAAGTTGAGCAAACGGATTCCCTTCTTGACAATCTTTGGCTGAGTGATTACTTGCACAGAGTTCGCATGTTAGAGAAGAGGATTCAATTGCATTTATCTTTAGTACATTACCTAATTGCTTTTGGATGTTTGAAAGTTGCGCAACCAATGCGATACAGCCGTCAAATTCATGCACTCCCGCTGCTTTCCTTATTGAATTTCTCTCTGAAGTCCTCATGTAACTATTGTGCACCATTACCTCAATCAAATTGTACGCTTTCTCTGGTGTTTTGCTATTCAAGGCTCCTCCACTTGCAGCATCTATCATAGCTTGAATATTTGGTAGCAACCTTTGGTAGAACGATTGCACTTGTGACCAGATTGGTAACACAGGGTGAGGACAACTCTGTAAAAGATCCTTATACCTTTCCCATGCTTCATACAATGACTTCATGTCCTGTTGGAAGAAATTGGTAATCTCACTTCTCAGCTTGGCAGGTAGAAAATATTTAGTAAGGAACGCTTGAGCTAACTCGTTCCATGTCATGATGCTCCCAGATGACAAAGAAATCAACCAAGCCTTAGCCTTATCTTGAACAGAGAATGGGAAAAGTTGTAGCCTAATTGCATCATTAGATAGTCCATTATGCCTAAATGTGTTGCATAGCTCAAAAAAATTAGGGATATGCAAGTTAGGATCATCACTAGGCAACCCTATGAATTGGACCGAGTTCTGTATCATCTGAATAATGGTTGGCTTTATCTTGAAATTATTTGTTTGAACTGGTGGTCTCCTAATGCTAGAATAACAACCCTCCACAATAGAACTAGAGTAGTCCTTCAATGCTCTTTGAAAAACCATAGCTCCTGTATCAGCCATTGAACTTAATTCTTGTGTACAATCAGAACCTGAAAATAAGAAAATGTTAGAACACTAAAAAAAAAAAAGAACAATAATAATAAAAAAAAAAAAAAGGAACAAACTAAACCTAATATGAAAACTACTAAGCACAAATAACAAAATAAAACAAAATCAAATTAGCAATAAAATAGTTCATATTGATATTGGTAAAAAAAAAAATAATAATAATAATAGTTCCCCGACAATGGTGCCAAAAACTTGATGGGCTATTCGCAAGTGTACGAAACCGTGCAAGTAGTAAAGCTCGAGTAAACGAATGTCGAATCCCAAGAGAACTACTTACCAAGTACCAAACTAATCTATTTTATTACTATTTGATAAAACAGAAGTTTAAGAATGATTTAATGAAAAATAGAATAAACTAAAAACTAAAACAAAAGCAGAATTGTATTAATACTTTGGTAAAAAGATCAATATGACTAAACCTATGGCATAGATTTCACACCAATTTAATCCTATGCATTGACAATTATTGCTAACCTAATTAAGCTTATTCTAAAGACCAAATTCTCTAATATTTTACTAACTTTCTCTCAAACAATTGGCAAATTAACTCTTAAGCAACAACCCAAAATATCTCTAAGTTGGATTTAGAAGTTAAAAGATCATTAAGTTCTATGGAATTTACCACAGCCTCACAGATCGTAGTAATCTATCTCTAGCGTTCGCTAAATCTATGGTTTTACTACCCTAGACCAATTAGGTTTCATCTCTGGCTCTTGTAACGCCCACATGGAGGTACATAATTTAATTTATGCTCTTATACCTTTAGTTGATTTTTTTGCTAAAGTTATTTTGAGAAAATGTGAAGAAAATGCCTTAAACTTGCATTAAGGGTAAAATGGTATTTTCACTCAAAATTAGTTGAAAAAGTGGCGAGTGAAAAGAGGTAGAATTGGTAGAATTTCATGGAGAATGTATTAAAAATGAGGGCATTATGGAATTTTAAAGAAAGTGCGAGGGCAAAATAGGAAAGTATGCATATTAATATGAGATATTAAGAGTTCAAGCAAAAAGACCCTATCATTCTCTACTCCCTCTCATGCCACTTCACTCTCAATTTCTCTCATCTCTTCATCAAATTTCCAAGGGATTTTAGAGGGCTTTTGGTTGGATTTTGGCAGCTATTTGATCTTAAGCACCCAAAGGTAAGAATTCTTGCAATAGATGTGAGATTAATTTTTAAAGTGTTGAATTCTTATAGTGTTTATGCTTAGGGTTTTAGAGAAAGAACAAGTCTACCAAAGAAAGAGAGATTCTAGTGGAATTACTCAAGCACAAGGTAAGTAAATCCTACCCTAAGTATGATTTAAGTTATGTTGTGTAGAGAACTTTCTTTATGCATATATATGTGTTGTATGTAAAATTGTTGATGGATTTGGTGTTGAATACCTATCCATGAGAAGTTGTGTTGGTGTAGTTTTTATTTGATGACTGTTTGGATGAGATTTGGAAGAATTAAAGTGAAAATTTTGAAGTGTGTATTTTGGGCAGATTTGGTGTTAATTATGGAGGAGTTTATTCCAAATTTTTGGTGGCCTAAAATAGAGATAGAAGTGTAGCCAAATTAGTGTTGATTTGTGCACATGAATTGTTTGATGAAATGACAAAGAGAAGTGCATGTATAAGAATGATTATGTGTTACTTTGGGATGAGTCTGTAGATGGTAGAGAATGACATGTTTGCATTCCATAATGCATAATTGCATTTAAATAAGTGAATTTAAAAAGAATTATAAGCATGAAACCATCAACATGCATACATATTCATAAGACCATGAAAAAGCCCTAAAATATGTTAAAGAGAACATAGAAAGAAGTGAGAATATTAAAGATATTCAAATCTGAATTTTTCTTAAAGAAGTGTAAAAAAAAAAAGATAAAAAGAAGAGAAGGTTCTTGCAATGGGGTGCCGTGAGTGACATAGTCCCACATGCACGTCGCCTTTAGTGAGCGGCCTTGGAATTCAGAAAGAATAATTGTACAGCCCGTTAGAAGTGTGTGTGGATGACGACTGTACCTAGAATTAGAGAATTCACTCACACGGCCAAGGCTCCAAATCCATGCCTCAACCGAGTCCGATCGGCAAGAATAGAAAGAAAGAATAGAAAGAAAGAAAGCAAGAATAGAAAGAAAGAAAGAAAGAATAGAAAAGAAAATAAAGAAAGAATAGAATGAAAGACTAGAAAAGAAATAAAGAAGCAGAATAAGAAAAATAGAAAAGAAAATGCATAATTTATGCATTTGTGCATTTGCATCATGAATATGCATAATACCATGCTCATTATCATGGGTGGTGAAAAAAATTAGAAAACAGAGAGCAAAACAAAGAAAGAATAGAGAAAGAACAGAGAATACTCGGGAAATGAGTTGTAAGGAAAGAAAATTCAGGATTTAAGCAACGAAGAGAGAAGGGTAGCATAGCGGGTTTACTTACTGAGCCATTAGTGCTCACTCCTTTGTTTTTAATGTTTTGCAGGTAATAGGTGAGTTACGGTCGCTCGGAACGTCATGCAGTGGAAGGGTTGGGCTACACTGTCAAGTTGCTATTTTTGAGAACATTTTGTAAATATTTGCATATAAAGAAAAATTAAATATGGGCCCATGCTTTATTACTCGTATATATATGTGTATTTTCTTATATATATTTTTAATGAGTTTTAGTGATTATTTTACGAGTATACTAGCTAGAAAGAAAGCATTACAGATCTCAACCCAACCCATGATATCATTCAACTCTTAGATCCATAAGAATTGAAAGCATTACACATAATAATAAAACTTAGAATTAATGCTCAATTACAATTAACAACAATAAAATCAACACATATTCATAAATTGGGCTACATCTTTAGCCCTAGGGAAGAAATTTAGTTTATAATTGCAATACTAAAAACAACTATTGTATTCAATAACATGAGTTCAAGAAAGAGAATGGAAAACTTCTCTAATTGGTGAACGAAAACTGCAAGAATTCTTATCTCCAAAATAGTAGCCGCCCTTTCTCCTTCTCTAATCTCTCTAAAAACTAAATAAAGACCCTTAATTATTGTGCTAGGGCTTGGAGTTTAATTAGGAAATAATTTGTAATAACTACTTGATACTACTATACTCATAAAAAGAATACGTATAATAAAATACGAGTACATTAATAAAAATAGTTGGGCCCAAATTTTCTTTTATTTAATATACATATTCTTTTACAAAAGTCAGTATCCTTTACAAAAGTAC